CCCCCTAAAAAACCCCATTCTCTCTAATATTCTCCTGTCCTATCCCCTCAGTATATTTTAAAACACCTGGGAAACCATCATCACAATTAAAATAATGAACATTTCCATCACCCCCCAAAGTTTCCTTGTGTTCTTTTTTGGATTAATTTTTATTAAATGGAAAGATTCATGTACAAATTTGAGATCTGTTTTGGCTTTGTTTGTTGTATTTTTTTGTGTTGTTATAAATTTAATAATGATTTGATTTTCTGATCATTCTTTATGTTTTATATGTTTAAAGTCTACATGATTATAAAATGAAATTACTTTTACTGGTCAGTTTATAATAACATGGCTCATTTTTCTTCAGGATCAAGGAGTCAACTCTGGAAATGTTTCTGTCTAGAATTTTGGTGTGTTGGACTAATTCTGCCATACATGTCCTTGAATCAAGTTCCCCAAGCCTAAAGGACAGTCTGAATGGGAATTCAAGCATAGTTAGGAGACTTTTGGAATATATCTATACCCACTGGGAACATCCATTGGATGCTTTGAGACACCAGACCAAAATCATATTCAGAAATATTCTCCAAATGCACCAGCTCACTATAGAAGAGCCAAAAAAGTCAGATTTGGCCACTGATCATTTCATTTTGGAACTGACTGAGAGTCTTCTGCGATTGGAATGGCATAGTAAAGGAAAGTACACATGCCTTGGTTGTTTAGTAGAGTACATAGGAATTGAACATATTTTGGCATTAGCTAAAACTGTTCCATCGCAAATCTTAGAGGTGATGGGGGATCAGTCATTGGTGCCTTATGCAAGTGACCTGTTGGAAACTATGTTTAAAAACCATAAGAGTCGTTTGAAATCCCAGGCTGTCGACAACACTTGGATTGATAAGTGGCATGAGACTTGGGTTTCTCCTCTCCTTTTTATACTGTGTGAAGGAAATCTGGATCAAAAATCTTACGTGATTGATTATTACTTGCCAAAATTACTGAATTGCAACCCTGACAGCTTAAGCTACATGGTAAAGATTCTTCAGACTTCTGCTGATGCTAAAACTGGTAAGAAGATGAATTTTTATTGTTGTAATTTCTAGTTAGGATGCTTAAATATGGGTACCTAGGCAGATGTTGACCATATTTGAATTTAAATATTACCACTTCCATAAATAGTGAGGGAGGATATTAATTATAGAGATTTTGGATTGAAACAAATGTTTCTGTACCTAGCTG